AGCTCTGTGCACAGCCTTTCCCAGAAAAAGTCTGGGCATCGTGCAAGGTGGCCCCAGAAGAACAGAGGACTGGGAACCACATCTAACACCGAGGGCTCAAGCTATTTCTCCCCAAGAGAGAAGAAGAAACTACATTTGATAAGAGATTAAGAAATCAATGTTTTTTTTTAAAAAAAAGGTCTGAGGCTGATTTTTGGACGAATGAGAGCTACATGAATACTGACTCCAGGCCACCCCCTTCCTCAAGGCCACACACTGGCCTTTGTCAGATAAGCTCTGTCTCACCCGGTTATCAAGAGCTGCTGCCCCTGGTCTCCCAGGCTCAATCCTTCCATTTGCCCACCCGCAGCCAGACTGCCCCAAAGAAACACCAAATGTCCCTCAGCTGGGCTACGAGGTGGCCTGCTGGAGGCTGACCGGCCTATGGCAGTAACACATTTGCACAAGAAGCGGCTTGCTCTGCTCCAGGGCCAAAAAAAAGCACAGTTTGACAGAAACAAGAAATCCCTAGGCAAGCCCTTGCCCCAAAAATGTGACCTAAGCATTCACCTTGTAGAGGCAGGTAACTGTTAGAAATGGGTTCTGCTAAGGTCGTAGCAGACGCTCATCCAGACCTCCCAAAGCCTTTCCAATTTCCCAAGAGCCAGTGCTTTGATCTCCCAGACCTCAGACCCAGTCTCGGTATTTTCCCATTCTCGGTGGGATTTCGTCTTCCTGTGGTGATTTCATCTGGCTCTACTCCTAAGCTGCCCATATACCCACGCCTTTTCCCAGTGACCACCTGACTCTCCCAAGGCTGGATGGGGTGCTGACCTGCCGATCTCCAAGGGCTCTGAGGTTCACAGTAATTGTGGTCTCCTGCTTATGCTGCAAGGGTAGGTGTGTGCGCTTCGTCTACTTTCCTTCTTGATTACACACTTCTTGGAGGCAGTGAGAAACAATGCAGATTTAGGTGGCCTCTTGGACTTTCAAATTCATTCTTGAAGGGTATTTCTGCTGGATGTCGACACTACGGTGACAGTTATCGTTCTTCCTGCATATTGAACATATCTTCTTGTGCTTTTGTTGCGAAGACAGTTCTCAGACAGCCATTCTTAGAAAATAATCTCTTACTCTCGCTGCCTTAAGAATTAGTCTTCAATTGAATTTTACTATGATGCGTTTACATACAGTTTCCTCTTTATTCTCCTGAAGATTCAATGGGCTCTTCAATCTGTGAATTGGTTTATTTCAGTACTTTTGGAAAACAATGCATCATTATCTCTTCAGATTCTTACTCACTCTCCCTCGTCTCCTTCTATGACTCCAAATAAGTACATATGCAGCTCTCTAACCATACCTTCTATATCTCTTACTTTCTATATTTTGCATATTCTTACCTCTCCATGTTTTGTTTTGGCTATTTTCTTCCAACCCATCTTCCAGTTCACTACCTTTCTCTATAGCTATGTCTAATTTGTTAAATCTGCCCACTGACTTTTTAATTTGGTTATTGTATTTTTCAAATCTTTTATGTAAAATCATATAGTTTCCCACTACCATGGCAAACATTCTCAAGATTCTCTTTTTTATATTTCTTCATACATAGTAAGGAGAATAGTTTCATGGTCTATGCGTAAGATTACAGAAACTTAACATCTTGTGGGCCTGTTTCCATTATCTGTTGTTTCTGTTTGTTCTCACTTAAGAAGTCTTGAATGTGTGTGTATTTTTGACTATGTGTAGATCATTTTAGGTGGGGGAAAAAAAAAAAAGCAGAAACAATTTGAGGAACAACTTTCTGGTAACTTCCTCCAGAAAAGATTTTTTTTTGCTTCTCCCAAGCACTCTACTCCAGTAGAGAAGTGCCGTAATCAAGGTTCAAACAACCCTGGTCCTCTCAGGTGATGTAAACCTGGCCTGCAAGACTGCACAAGGGCAGTTTCACTTCAGTTCCACCCTGACAGTTGGTCTTCTGGGTCTCAGAAAGTACCTGGGCATTTTCTGCACTCCTATCCTCAGGTAGGCTATGGTTTGATCCTTTCCCTCCATGAAGCTGTCAAAACTACAAACCACGTTGGGATTCTTTCTTCTGGATTAGCAAGAACCCTCGGAACAACAGTGGCCTTCAGGGCTGGGCTCATCTCTCTGGTTCCAGCATTCTTCCAGAATCTGGCCAGGAAGTCCTTGTCTCCTTATTAGCAGTTCAATGCTTTTACGAAATTTGTTTTCTTTTTACCTTCTTTGTTTTCTTTTTTTCTCTCTTTCATTCTTCCTCACCACCCCCCATTTGTTTGTTTGTTTGCTGGCTTTAAAAAACAATCTTATCCATTTTTTAGGTCTCTTCAGTGAGAAATCTGGTTGGAATTACCTAGCCCACCACCACTGGCAGTGGAAGGTCCTCCTACTCTCACCTTTGACATTGCCAGTTCAGTGGCTCAAGGCTCCATCTCTCATTGTGTGGGAAGTTCTGAAAGCTCTGCCCCAAAGACTACAGACTCCCCTGGGGCTTCTCACTAGCCAGCTTACCTCTCTCGAGACAATTACCACCCACCGGGTGGTCTCTCAGGCTGCTGCCCATCACCTTCCTGCTCGGCCTCCATTACAGACACGACCCTCTGTCTTCAGTCGCGTCACCTTCCTGTCTAGGGAACAGACTTTTTCTAAAGATGTGGGGGTAACAGAGAGTAGGGTACCGTACTACTCAAAACAGAAAACTACTTTAGAGTACTTTTCAGAAATCCTTTAGCCAGCTGTCACAGCTAGAAAATAAGACAGTGACTTTGACCCTCTCCTAATCTTCCCCGCTGCCCCCCTCCCCTCGCTGCCCCCCTCCTGTACCCCTGGGCCTCTGCCCTCCTCTCCCTCTCCATTCTCTTCTGACTTACAGCACTACTACTGGGACTCCACAATTCCTCTCACTTTTCCTTGTGTAGCAATTTAGCTCTTTTCTAAACTATTCCCATCTGGGTCAAGCCCATAAAACCTCAGCTTTCTTAATAACAGGTCCATGAAATTGTGTTCCTTCACCAAATTGCCAAAAAGTTCTGAAATCAATGCTGTCCTTGCCCTGAAATGCAAAAATGGGGCAGTTGTTTTTTTTTTTTAAAGCAATATTTTCCTCCTAGTGTATCCTGCCGTCCCTGCACAGTCCCAAGACCACACATTCTTTCTCCAGGAGGACAGTGAGAGAAGGGGGCCTATAGGACACTTCTCCCCGGGGCTGCTGAGGGGTAACAGCCCAAACTCTGTCAATTCTGCTACTTCCTGCTTGAAAAGCCTGGGAATTCTTCTGAGGCCATCACAGAAGTTCGTCCGGGTTTCACTGGAAGAATAGTTACAAACAGAGTACAAAGTCTAACCGATTACCAAAAAGAGCCTCCTATGTTGTGAAGAACTGATCATTTAAACAAAACGACCACAGGATGAAAATGCCCTCCTCGGAAGCTGCAGGAAAATAAAAATGGGATTCACTGAAAAGCCCAGATCCGGCTGGGCTTCCTCTGGTTGCTGCTGCCGCTCTTTGAAACCATCATCCAGCAAACCCGAGATGTGCTGCTTCTAAACCACAGCTCCGGAGAAAATCAACTCAACTATTTCCCAGACTGCAGCCCTGGAACAAATAAGCACCAACCGCAACTTTCCAAGCTCCACAAAAATACAAAATCTGCCTTCTAAGAGACACAGGAGGAAAAGAAGAGCTGCTAAGGAAGTGTAATTCACAGCCCCCTCCAATTGTATTTCAAAGAACAAAATGAGGCCGGGGGAAAGGTGTGAAACTGCTAGCAGGGAAAAAACCCAAGAGCGTCCAGCAAAGATCTCCCCGTGAAGTTAAGAATAAAGGTACATAAATGCAGTTACATAAGCCAAAAACAGTACTTTGAACACGTAGCTGCAAAGCAGCTAAATACACTGAATCAAAGTATTAGTGGAAGAACTGTGTAGAACTTCATAATATGGAAATTAGGCAATAAGCATTAGATGCAACTGAAAATCAGATTCAATCAAGGAGCAGAATGGAGTTGATAATCGGTACGACTCCATTTCACAACGTCATTCAATCATTTCCCAAACCAAGTGCCTTTCTTGGGAAGACGATTGCCGATATACTTCCTACTGCTGAAGGTACAGCAAGGGGAAGAGACACCAGGATAGGCCCGTCCTTGGAAGGCAGCCCTGGAACACGGGCAGCGAGTCTACGTTTTAAGCAAAGTGTGATTTCTCTGCAGGTTCAGTGAAGTCATCCACCAAGCTCACACCGGGCTCCTGATGACACAGCCTGTGTCTTCTCTGCGCATCACCACTGACCAGCCAGCTGGTGTCACAAATCCATGCCCGGTTCTGCTCGGTATCCCTCTGTTAATGCTCTGTTCATTAATTTAACAAACTATCCGGAGAGTATGCTTGGAATGGGCAGCATTCTCTCTCAACTTTAATTAAACTCTGCTATTGCAATATGACAGCACATCATAGGGGGAATTATTTTAAGGATGAGGGCAGAAAGTATTTCAAAGCCCCCCACCTAAACATGAAAGCATAATCTAAAATGGCCAAGCACATACTATAATTTTTCTATAATATTAAAGATGTTATTTTCAGACTCAGTAATTAATTGGATTCCGTGGAGAAATTACACCAGCATCCTTGATAGCAAAATGATGTGCAGAGGCAGGAACAGTGTGCCAGAGGACGGCCATAAACAACCCAGCTGTCACCCAGATTATGACAATCACCAGGCTTAATAAGGAGTAAGAGCTGCTTGCTTCTAGGATGCACTCATTACTTCCTGCAAAGTGACGGCACTGAATTCTGATTATATCGCCTTCGTAAAAGGAATGGCAGCGGCAGCGGCACCTGCTCCAGCGGCGGGTGGCCTCAGAAGGATGCCGGGAAGGCGCAAGCCAGGGGCCACGGGCTGGACGAGGACGGCATCCCGTCAGCTGATGGCCGGCGAGTCCTGAGCCTTCCACCGCCTTCTCCCCCGCCCCACAGGGAAAGGGGAGCCCAGGAAGCTGGCTTACCATCGATCCGGCTTACGAGTTCTTCCAAGATTTTCACTTTCATTTGAATCCCAGGTTGAGCAAAGGTGTAGTTGTCCTACGGGAAAGATAACAACGAATATCATATGCATGGAAAATAAAACCCGCTTTCCAAAGGGGAAAAAGGCAGCGGGAACCAAGGTGAACAGTTTCACAACATAACAGATTCACAAAGTGATCAACGCACACGGCATTAGGCTGCGTTACACCACCAGTGTGCAGCACGAACCAGAAGGTGAGTCCGACAGCCCCTGATGTCAGAGGGGAACACACCGACCTCAGGAATATTTAACGGGGCACATCTACGTAAATACAGATTTAAAGTGAACAAACAGCTCACTGAGGGCCCGAGTCCCGGAAGTTGCTCTGGCTGGCACAGGGGCAAAAAGCACTCAGAGCTGCAGGGGAGCCGATGCGTAACAGCGACCTGGCAGTACCAGCGTCACGCCGGCCATCCCAGGGTCAAGGACATGGTCACTGTGTGAGTGCAGAGTGAACGTGGGACCTCAGTCTCAGCGAACTCAGTGAAGAAGTTCATAAACTAAGACAGGAAAACCAGTGTGGACATTGGGCGGGGGGAGGGGGGCCTCCAGTCAGGCAGACCTGGAATGAGAGCCCAGCCCTATCACTTAGATGCTGTGTGACCTTGGCGAGCAACACCACCCGTCTGGGCTGCAGTTTCATTATCTATACAGTGAGAATGATAGTGCGGACTTGTAGGACTGCTCTGAGGCTTCAGGAAGCACTGTGAGTGGCAGGCGCGTGAGGGCTCAGGGCAGCAGGCCGGGTGCCCCACTGCCATCACCTGAGAACACAAATCAGCTGGAGGAGAAGGTGGCGCCCACCGTGTCCCACCCCAGGGCATCCCCACAGAGCTGCCCTCAGGAGCCTCTGCCGGCGCTCAGGGACCATTTGCAGAATGAGGGTTTCAACTGGACTCCTGCAGTGATGGACTTACACTGCATGATATGGAAGGCAGGGTAATGACCCCCCAGAGATGTCCAGGGCACATTCCTGGAGCCAGGCAAGGGGGACAAAGGTTGCTAATCGAGGGACTGAACCAGGGACAGCATCCTGGATGGCCCAAGTGGGCCCAGTGTGACCCGGGGCCCTTGAAGGTGGAGGAGGAGACAGGAGAGTTAGCGTCAGAGCTGCAAGGACGCTTGACTCGCCACCGCGGACGTGGAAGGCAGGCAAAGGCGCCACCACCCAAGCAACACAGGCTCGAAAGAGACCAAGGAGCGAATTATTCCCTGAAGCCCCAGAAGGGACGCAGCCCTGCCCACGCCTTGATCTACACCTTGATCCAGCACCCCAGGTGCATGGCAGCCTTCCAAACTCCAGGACAATGAGGTAATAAATGTCTGTTTCAAGCCACGACGCGCTGCACCTGCGGGTCCTTGAACTAGAGTGAGCGCATGGGGCCTCGGGCCCTGGCGGTTCAGGGGGGCTCCTGCTGGGCCGGTGTTGGGAGAGGACGGCTTGTCCTCAGGGAGGCACGGGGGAGGCCCCAGGACGTGGGAACAGCACTCCCGGTGCCACCCGCCCCAGGACCTGCGAGGGGGGCTCCAACGACACAGCATGGGGGAGAAGAGGACCTTCACACCAGCAGCAGCATCTAAGGCTGAGCAGTCAGACGTGGAGGGCTCTGATTCCAGCACAGTCGGCACTCTGGGTTTAACACACGTGTGCACACACACACACACACACCCCTCCTAACTAGAGCAGGAGTGGCAGCCACGATGACACAGAACTTAAAATGCCTACAAGGCAACAAGGATCTTTTTCCCGCAGAAACAGAAAATGAGTAAATTCAGACCTAACTTCTTGCTGAGGTTTCTCCCAAGTCGATTTCAAGTGACAGCCTCTGAATCCAACTGTCACATCCCCGCGAGGGCAAAACCGAGGACAGCTCCGTGCGGTGCCCCGACTCAGAGCAACCCTGAGGTCCCACATGCGCCCTGCTCTGCACAGGGGGACGGTGCTCCTGGGGCAGCTGCCACAGGGGCCTGGCATGATGTGCCCTCTAGACACGGTGACAAGCTTGTGCGTTCTGCCACGCCTTGAAATCTTGTGAAGCGAGGGCTTTCACAGACTGGTGCTCAATGGACAGGACCTCTGGGCCCTGAAAGGCGTGTGTGTGTCCTGGTGAGACACCGGGCGCCCCTCTGGCCGAGACGGGGCAACAGCACAAGGTAAGCACGAGCCGTGAGCTTTCACGGACTTAGACATTAATGGGCAACGGAAATTCTGGTTTTGGACTTGAACTTACAAGGGTTGGCCTTAAGACACTTTCTCTCTGAGACTGGGTAACATAAGGAAATTTATACTCGAATGCGGGGCAGGCTCTGTAGCTGGAGGCTTACACACTGGCACTTCACCTCATGGTGCAATTTCTGATGAGACAGGTGGAAGAGTCAAGCAGGACATAATTAAGGATGAGAAATAAACTCAGGGTGGAGGCCTTACAGATTATCTAATTAATGTTCAATTCTGACACGTTTCAAAGCGATCAGGACCAGGCTCTAACGTCCTCTCCCCGGCGTCCCAGGAGAATCCTCAAAGGAGCAGGGGTTCCACTGGGGGCTGGCCTGTCCCGATGGGCTGTGGGCTCCAAGGCGGGCCATGCCCCTGGCTGAGAAGGGACCCAATGGTTATGCAAACAGCCAGCTGAGGGAAACACTCTCAAACCCGGGGTCTGCTTCCAAGTGGAGGGAACTCAGTTGGTGCCTCTCCTGCACTATCTCCATCCCCAGAAATACTCACCCCGAGAAGGCAACTACAACTGCTAAGCCTGGGGGACGAAACAGCCAGTAGGTTCAGCCCTCCTTCCAGCTCTCAGAATCGGCTGATGCCCCAGGAAGGTTGCTCCCCCTTGGAAGGCTGCTCCCCACAGAAAGACTGTTCCCCAAGAAAGCTGTTCCCCCAAGAAAGCTGCTCCCCCAGGGAAGGCTACTCCCCCTTGGAAGGCTGCTCCCCCCAGGGAGGTTGCTCCCCCAAGAAAACTGCTCCCCCGGGGAAAGCTGCTCCCCCTGGGAAGGTTGCTCCCCTACGAAGGCTGCTCCCCCAGGAATGCTGCTCCCACCCTGGGAAGGCTGCTCCCCCAGGGAAGGCTGCTCCCCCTGGGAAGGTTGCTCCCCTAGGGAGGCTGCTCCCCCCCACCCCCGGAAGGCTGCTTCCTGGTACAGCTCTGATGCACGTGAGGGGGTCCTGCCCAGGCCCAGCGCTGGCTCTGACAGGGTGGGTCAGCCTGAATGATCCTGGGATTCAGTCAGCCAGGTTATTTGGCTCTCACACTAAGACAGGATTTCAAGCTTCTCATTTAGAAGAAACAAAAGTTATTCTTTGGCCATCTGCCACTATTTTATTTCTCAATTTGTTCAAAACCCAGGTAGGGGAGATGAGTTCTCTTGAAAATCCAAATAATTAGAAAAGAATGACACCCGAGAGTCTAAAAAAAAAAATCTGTATTGTGAAAGGACCTGAGAAGATTGACAGGTGTGGCCTTGGCATCTGGATTTAGGCAGGGGGCGGGGGGCAGAGAAGACCACCCTTCAGAAGGGGCACAGTGTGGTCGGCTGAGGAGGGCCCCACAGTAGCCAGGAAGCCTTTGAAGGGCACACCAGGGACATTCCAGAGCCAGAGGCTGAGTTGGAAGGTGTGAGGGGAGAAGAATGTTCTGTGGCCTCAGGAGAGGCACTTGGCACTCAGACCACCCAGCAGGGCTCCACCAGCGCCCCTCATCTGACCGTGGGTTCTGCCCGCTTCAGGCAGGGGTGCCACCCCCAGCATGCCATCCAAACCCGCGCCGGCAACGCACCTGGCACAGAAAACGTCTGCTGAATAAATATACGAGTAGGCAGGCAAAATAGGAAGTAATAAGGAAGTAAATAAGAATGCGGTATATTTACAGAAATAGTAACAGTCATAATATTAACAATACTCCGTGAAAAGTAACCATGCATGTCCTTTCAAACTGAGGTTTGACTTTGTGGTCTTTAAGAAATGATAGAATATGTAAAACTTATGGGTCAGAGGGAAGGAAGGAAGGTCTGAAGAATACAACGACCTTTTGGGCAATGTTTTACAGAAAGTGAAGTCCGTAGCAGACGGACTTTACCTTTCTGCTTACCTTTTTACAGAAAAAAAATAAAGAAATGCACACCAAGCTTGCCTCGCGTATGCTGCCGTTCCCGCCTCACCCTCCAGCAATAACAAACAGCATTTTCTGTGCTCTTCAGAAGACAAGCAGAATAAACTCTTCTGAAGGAGCATTTCAGAGACGAGATGGAAGATACACTCATATCGGCTTAGCCGGAAGGACCGCAGCACCCGCCTATTAAAACTCCCAGCTCCCAGAGAACTGAGAATCCCTCTTACCTCTGACAAGGGGCTGTGCCCCCAGACCAGAGATGCAAGTCCTCAGCAAGCCCCACACCCCTTTCCTGGCCAGTCTCACTCTGAGAAAGCTGCTCTCTTACGCTCAAACCACACTTGCCTCCCTCACCTGCCCTGGACCTGCGACTGGAACGACTCAGCAATACAAGGCCCCATTTCAGGCACCCTGATGATCCAATCAGTGCAACTGATGCATCAATCCATGCACGACAGAACCACAGCAGACTGGGAGCTCTTCCCTCTGTGCAGGAAACACTGCCTGAGTGCCTCACGCGTGAGACAATACCCCGAGGCCAGAGCAGAGACGGTGCGGAAAAGCAGGCCGGAGACTGCCATCCTGAGACAGGCCCGTGTGCAAGGTCGGCCCTCCCTCAGCCAGCGCCTGGGACCGAGGATTTCGGGTGTTCCCACCTCTCCCGAACCAGTAAGAATGGCTCGCTGGCCTCAGCTGAGCACCGTGGTTTACGCCAAGCTCCTGCTTCCGAGGTACCTATGTGAACAGCCTCGGTACAGATCCCAGGCGCAGAGCCTCTACCGAGCTCCCGGCAGACAGTGACAACTCGTCGCTGGGGCGTTAGGCGTCTCCTGCAACTCCACCAGTGCAGGACTCCGGGCAGCTGGCGCCTGGGTCCCCCCGGGCCTTCTCCCTTGGCCGCTGCC